GGTAAAGAATAATCGATTTCCGCAGATGTAGCAGCGTTTATTTATTTATTTACTATTCCTCTCTTGTTCTGGGCCCTCAACAGGCTTACGCCCAATTACAGAGTGACCCGCATAGTGCTTTTTAGAGGTGCCTCTGCAGAGAAGGTATTAAGTTGTTTTATACTACTCCGGTATTTACCTTACGAATTAGGAAAACTGCAGGAAAACGTCATTCAGAGTAGCCGGCAGAATGCTCGCAACTGGTCTAAGGTATCTGCCACAGATGAAAAATTCACCTCAATCCAGGTTCGAACACCCGACCTCCGGAATTATAGTCCAACGCTCTTTCATTGGTTTTCAATCGGTTTGTGTTGTTGGGTGGCCTTTAAGCATCAGAGTCGCACGTCTAACACACTCACACCCCTCCCACTGTGGACTGTGGGCACGGGAAGCTTCGGGAATATGTATCGCAATTTTACATTATAGTTGCGCCTCTTTGCTATTTCTCACTCAACAATCAACGAGTAAAATTCGAAGTATATAAGGAATATAAATTTGGAATATCAATTGGTAAGAAAAGAACGCTACATACTCCTTTCCTTGTTTTATTCCTGGTTGCCGTATTTACCGCTCATCAACAAACAATCAGATATTTAAATTTGTGGTCTCTACGCTTCATGCTTCTTGCTAAACAAAACCAAAACTGGTGAATACTCAAAATGTTTCCTCCAAAATTTACCGCCCCTAGAATTTGCCGCTCTAGGCGCGCAACTAGTCCGCCTTGTGGGAAATACACCCCTGGATGTAGCTCAAGGGAGAGTAATAAAAAAAGAGAGCGAAGCCGCAAAAGGCACCTTACTGTGGACATAAAAGTTAAAAGTAAAGAGGTTTGGGCCTAAGGCGAGTAAATTGCGAGCATTTTTCATGCATTATTCGGGACTTCCATAGTCCATTGTTATGTGACCTATGTTTTTCGTTATTAGAAGCATCTATAATTAAAAATAAGGAAGTTAGTATTGGGCGGTTTGCGCATGCGCATATCTAATATGGGACGTTTGCCTTTACTAGAATGTGGTTAAATTTTCCAAAAAATATCTATAAAAAAAGGATGCGGGCATTGTGCAGTCTGCGCATGCGCACACCTGATTTTTACCATATGCGATATGTTTGCCTTTACTATAAAGGTGGTGAAAATTTCAGCAAAATATATTAATAAATAAGAAAATTGATATTGCGCATGCGCACATTTATCGTCATGAGGTAACAGAGCTACCGAATTCAAGAAGAACGAACTAAATATATTGAAAACTGTAGGAGCAGTGGCGCCCTCGCATGGACGGACGGAGAAAGTGGTCATAATTGCGCCTTCCAACATAAGTTTAAAAATGCGCTAAAATCTAGGTTCTACCATTAAAAAAATAGAAAACATTTAAGAATAGTAAATCTATTAAAATAAAACAGATTGCAAGCTGTGCAAACAGATACCGCATTCACAGGCTTCGTTCCGTTCTTCAGCCTGATAATTGTCATTACGACTAATTATACACGAAAATTGGGTAACCATTTTATCCCAAATTCCATTATAATTCGGATTAATGTTATAAGTTCATAAACACAAATTCAGCCTTATTTCTTTTGTACGATTTGTTTGTTTCTAATTCTTTTAGTAACTGCGTTGTAACTCAAAGTTGATTTTTTTAATTGAAGTTACAATTTACCATGGTTTAAAAAAAATTATTGCTTTACGAGCTTTCCTAAAATGTATAATACATCATACTTATTTTCAAGAATAAGCTTTTTACAATAAATTTTGCTTATTAATACATCTTGCCTGAAAGATAATAACAAAGGTTTTTTTGTGGAAAGAGTAGCTAATTAGCTAACACTCCGCTCACTATAAAATAAAGACAATAATAAATAAATAAAAAGTTGGTTATTAAAAGGTCTAGAAACAAACGACTGACGACATTGGTTATCTACATTAAAAACTGCTTGAATAATGCTAAAGCCATTTTGTTCTAGCTTCAACATTTTTCACTTTTTCTCTCTAGTGAAAAAGCAAAAGACGGCAGCTTATTTCCGGCAAAGGTAATGGAATAAGCATAAAAAATAAGGACACGAGTACTAAAACCGTTTTCAGTTTATCTGCGCTAATAAGAAAATTACCCATTTAATCCCATCGAAATTGGACCACACTGTACATAGTACGTACGGTACGTACCCACAGGCAGAAAAATTTTATTATTTAGAAGTTGCTTAAAATGATCTAAAATGTCGACATTTGATGAAATTTTTTCCAAAAAAACGGCGATGGCAATATCCAACTAAGTGTGGTGTCACACTATGCGTTTTTACCGCTCCCGCTAAAACGCTCCTGTTTGACGGGATGATAATATCACACGTTATTAAATGGTACCAGTCACATATATGCGTTTTCGCCGCACCAACCGGATGCAACCGCATCCTGCTGCCGCTGCGCAGGATGACATGACAGCTCCAATGACATGAAACCACGTGTTGTTGCACGTTGGTTGTCATCCAGTTGTCACACTGAGCGTTGCAACCGGGTGTTTTGTTAGGTTTACAATGTTTGATGTCGGTTTATTCATCTAGTGCGTGCATGCAAAAACTGCACTGCGGGAAAAACAATCTAAAGAGTATGTAGACAAAAGCTGTAGGGAGAAATCATGGGTAGAAATTGAATTTTTGGACATTCGGTAGGTAATATACAAAAAATTTTTTCTTGTTCATTCGAATTTTTTCATAAAACTTCGCGAACCTATTAGTAGATTCTCGTCCTGAATTAAAAGGATCAATCTAGTATTGACAATATATCTACTTTCACAATAGCCCCTCCGCCTCAAGCGCATAAACCATCTTTAACAATAATTGAGACATGACACTACTTAGACTGCCAAAATATAGCAAAAACGCATCCCGTTAAACCGGAATAGTGTGACAAGTAGATCTCATCCTGTCAAACCGCATCCGTTTTAGCGGGAGCGGTAAAAACGCATAGTGTGACACCACACTAACTGACACTACAGTGAGTATCTTCAGAAAAATTTGAATTACTCATTAACCTGATGAGCACAAAATTTTAAATTAGCAGCACAAATTAGCACAAAATGATCACAAAATTATAGTGAAAGAAAATTTTGAAAATATCGATGTTGACACTCAAGCGTGAAGTTGGAGTGTCATCAGAGAAAGTTGAATTACTCATTAACCTGATTAGCACAAAATTTTAAATTAGCAGCCCAAATTAGCACAAAATGAGCACAAAATTATAGTAAAAGAAAATTTTGAAAATATCGATGTTGACACTCAAGCGTGAAGTTGGAGTGTCATCAGAAAAAGTTGAATTACTCATTAACCTAATGAGCACAAAATTTTAAATTGGCAGCACAAATTAGCACAAAATGAGTACAAAATTATGTGATACTTGGAACTTAATTCCTTTCAAGTCGACACTCCAACTTCACGGACCCTGTTAGAAGGCAATTTTTATCATACTTTTACAAACGGAAACATTGTGAATGGACATCCTGTCCGCCCGTTCTTTCCTTATAGCATATAGGGGCCTGTGTAACACTATATCTTGGTTTCTTACAGTGGATGGTGTATGAAAATAAAATGATTCACCAAAGTTGACTTGGGAACCTTAGTTTAGGTAACTAGAGAGAGAAGTTACATTTAAGGAACGAATAATGCTGGATGTTGGTTGTAGTATTGGTGACCGGACATTAGGCCGCAGACATTTGGACGCAGACTAAGACCTCGGAGACATTGGGACGCGGACATTAGGACGCAAACATTGGGACGCGGACATTGGGATGCGGACATAGGAACACAGATCTTAGTCTAGAATGAGACGTTAGAGTGCATACACAGATGAAAAAGTAAAATAACATTGGTTTAATTGAATTATGCCTTTTATTGTGCTTACGTTCTGATGTCCGCATCCCAATATCCGCGTCCCAATGCCTGCGTCCTAATGTCCGAGTCCCATTGTTCGCATCCCAATGTCCGCGTCCTAATGTCTGGCTACCCACTGCCATAGCGCCTGTGGGATTCACCGTTTGCACAGATTAACTACATCTAGGCTCAGATGTCTTCTTTAATGGCTCGCTATTATTGCAAGGTCCTAAATACATGCAATAAAAGTTTTAATTCAAAATTTCGTCCAGACACAAACGTTAAATTTTTAGAAATTAGGTTTTTCCAACCCAACTGGTTACGTCCAATCGATTTAAATTGATATTTAAGTTTACTTCTAGGTGATACATCGTCATTTCGTTGATGATGACAGCATACAGACTTTCACGTTTGTGGTTTTTGGGTTTTTTGCGTTATTCTATACAGCGACCACGAGTGTGTCTGTGATTACTGTTCCTTTATGCAGGTCAAGGCGATCGTGTGGCTTTTGCTCTAAATTTCATAACATTGTATATCAAGAAAAGACGAAATTCGTTAAAAGCTTCAGTTGTATGCATATTGGAGGTATGTATAGGATCGTTTCTGTAGGAAATAAGGGCATTCGTTGCTATTTGTATACACATTAATTTTGGAACCGCTAGGAAATACATTACAGTTCGACGAGATTATTTGTTATTGCATTATAAGGAAGCTGATCTGTAAAGTATATAAGTGCTCTTTCCGGTAGTATCGATTTTTGTGTTTTCTGTTCTGCTGGAGACAGGCGAAGAGAAATTGCTAAAGCCATTGACCTACGCGGGCCGATCCATCACGCTCCGTAGACAATCGGGCAAGGAACCCTCTCTGACAGCCTTTACGATCGGGGGAGAGATTTTCACTTGCTCAAATGAAACGTCGATGCAAGGCCTGACCGGACTCGTAACTAACCCAAATTCAACCTCCTTATTTATGATATCAATGCCTAGTGCAAAGTCGTGTTCGTGTCGCGTGCACTAAGTTACAATTAACTATTTTTTTTATACCGGTGCAGGCGGATCGTATACATTTACAGTCTTAGAACAGTGTCTGACCCTCCTAATCAGTTTTTTCTCCACACGCAGGACCTAGTGGTGCGTATAGTCCGGATGCTACAATGGGTTACATGATGGATGGGCAACAAATGATGCACCGGCCGCCTGGAGATCCCGCCTTCCACAATCAGTACGCGCACTATCCAGCAGAGTACTACGGTCACCATCTGTGAGGTGATGTACATTTCATATGTCACTCAATTTTAAGATAAAACCGTTATGTGAACATCTTGTTCTTGATCTAACGTTGGATTTTCTTTGCAGGTCACATGAATACAACGACAATGAACATTGAAATACGCAACTTTTAAATGTGATTATTCTTTGTACAAAATGTAAATGTAGTGCCCCAGTGTTTAGTTGACGGAAAGGATTTGTACAAAAGTATTAAGTGCATAGACAACAACTCGTGCGTTGATTGTATATAAAAGGTGCGAGCCGGCCCCGAAGCGGCCATGGACTCTTTAATAATGTGTATACACTGTACATGAAGACTCTGGGACAACCCGCCTTTAAGTGATGTGGTATCGTAGCTTAGATCTCTCGATGTTACCTCCTCACCACCACGTCCGTTCGATGCGATCGTACGTTGGAAATCGCCCCTCTCATCTTCGATGTGTCGTGGCCATGCCGCAACAGACGATCGTGACGACATCCATTTATCCTCGGTCCTTCTAATTCTGCCGAATCGACTTATTTAAAACATCTTTGCGTACAAAAATATTTCGAGGTTGTGCTGTTGTAAAAATAATAGTTGTTATATCTGTTGTGATTTTTTTGCTATTTCTTAAAAAAATTTGACCCAATCCTTGTCCCAATACACGATATACGTAAGTTACTGAACCTAGATGTGTTATTCTCACAACACGGCTAGTGTTATATCAGTACACATCAAGTATACAGAATGTCGCAAAGTCTCAGGTGGTTTTTTGGCTGAACCCAGCATACCAATAGAAAATTTATATCATACATTGCATTATTTATCCACATAGACTGTGCTGTATTCTTGCCACGGAGGACGATCGACAAATCCGGAAACACTTTGCATTTCTGCTAGTACCAAGTTTGCGCGTAGACATCGGCTGTAGGTAATTAGCTTCTTTAAATGTTATTTTGTTATTTGTATTATAAGATTTGTAAACCGACGTTCGGTCGTTGTCTTCGCGCAACTTTCCCGAACCCTTTCGGCCGCCGAGTTGGTATACGAGTTTGGTAATGTTATAGTCATTAATAAATTTATATTTAATAGTTTAATATGTACGAGAGGGTCCACCGTCGCAGAAGTCGCAAAGTGTCCCGTCGTTTACTATTTTTGTTGATTCGTCGTTAATACCAGCGTAAACGGCGACGTCGATCGTCTGCTCGGACGCGAACAAGGCAACGCCGGCCCAACTCTTGTATACCATTTACTTATGAGACATTATAGTTTTTGAATATTTATTGCAAAATATTGCCTGTGCTGTTAAAAGTATACTATCCGACGGCCTTATTCGCGTAATGTGGGCTTAAATCGATACATATCTCCAGTTCGGGCGTTGTAGTGCAATTTGTTATTTAAGTTGATTGTTGATAAGCGTAGTGCATGTTAATTTAATACACGAACGCTATCCGTTTTTTATTAAGCTCCGAACTGGCGAGTTGGCTCGATTTCTTAATTTCGTTTCGATCACTGGCCTTCTGCAAGAGTTTTAAATACCTCCAGTAATAAATATTGGCTGTTCGTTTTAAGTGATTTCCATCATTGTTCGCCTTATCCAATGTATACGAAAAACTAAATCAATACAGATCAATGAGAATATCGTACCTCTGTGTTATGTATGAGAGGAGACTTTATTGTGTTCTGCTTTTTAATGAAAGTATATAATATATATAATAATAATAATAATAAATGATCATGGGACGAGATACCTCTACACTAATTTGGTAACGCTGTGTCCTCTGTATAGTGTTTTTTTGAAACGTGAGCATTAAATGCTACATCTTGTGTACTTATACTATTGTATTTGTTTTTAAACTATCCCTATCCCTTCACGTTAAAAAAATAAAGAAAAATTTAATACGATTTATTATATATGCACTGATAATATCGCGTAAAAAATGACTACAGCTCTAACAGTTTGAAAATGGTTCTCTTAAAAAAATCATACGGCAGGTGCTTATAAAAAACCAAGATGAAGAGCGTCATAGTTCAAAGTTTATAAGAAGGTAAGTAATATTAGCAACACAAAAACTTAGGATAAAATGTCTTTTAAGTAGTGGTAAGTACCTATGAGATCAAAAATTGCGTAAAAATTCCACTTGCACTCGCAGATGATTCATAAATTTATATTAAAGTTGTCTTCTGAATTTAGGTAGGTACCATCTATAAATTGTGGAAGTGATACGACCTCGCGATCGGTGCCGTTTTACTTTTTATTCCAAAATTTTACAATGTATCATTTTTATAAGTACTTCTATTTCCCCATTTATTATGCTTGTTGTTTTTATGTGATAACATTAAATATGTTATCATATGAATTCTTGCTGTTTAAATCGGCAAAAAATATTTAGTGCTGAATTAGTTGATCATTTGAATTCATATCTGACATTGTGCGGAAGTTTCAGGAACTATATCGTTTAGTTTATTTGACTACGTGTACACTAGCGCCTAATTGAAATAGTATATTGCCGTGACCCTTACCTTTGAGCACACAAGGGGACGCCTACCTAGGTAGCTCACAAGTCACAATTACCATTATTCTCAATTGTTTTAATTTTTAAAATTAATCCCAGGGCACGACTGGGTTCCGGCACAAAAGGAACTCCTGACGTTGACTTTGAACACTCAGAATTAGAAAAATGCCGCAATCAAATTTCGTAAATTCCAACGGGAACGGTACATACACTTTGAAACACAATGACATGACATTTTTTTTGAGATTTAAAAAAAATTATTAAACAGAAACAATTACAAAACCCTGTAATAACAATTCTAAGGCGACATAAAGCCTTTTTATACACAACCCGTTCACAGAACGGACAATAAAACGCGTAAACCAAGACAAGAGATCTCAAGAAATACAAATTAAGTACTTGCCCATGCAATATACAAATTATGTCGGTCTGTTCAAGGAAACGCAATTACTAACGAGCTACACTTTCACGAAAACTTAAAGCTTTTACAAACTCGCACTTTTTATTGACACTTGACTCATCTGACGAAATTATGAATAAATTTGGCTGACAATTTTAAATCAACGTATTACTTGCATAAACTAGACGACGACATTACTTCAAATCTTAACAATCCTTCCAAACTGCAATGACGAACTTGCCAGAAACTTAAACTTGACGTAACCTGATTACGTCTTTCAACTAAATTTCAGGTGAGTTACGCACGCGTATCAACCGAACAATCGCGTCCTTAACTTACTCCACTTATTTAAGTAATCATCACCTCCACTCCATTAATCCGCATAGTTGCTAAATAACGAAAAACCAACAGCCAAACTACGTCGCCAATTTGATTCTCATATGCGCACGCTTAACACACATGTGTATTTTATCATAGCACACACATTTGTACACACATTCTAAATTTACGATACACAAACTAAACAATGACTATTAAATAAAATTCTCACATTCTGTGTCCATTTGACAAAGTTTCCCTCAGGTTCAAAACAAATAAAACATTGTACAGGATGCCCTGCATGAAATTTCAAATGCTAAACCTAAATGACGTTTACAGCACGTAAATTTTCAACTACACGGTGGCTCGCTCTTATCGTCGGCATTATATCAACCTAGATAAACTAGACCCCTCCCTGCAGTTTACGCAACAATATATTCGTTAAAATATTGGTCTCAACATTTTAAATCTTATTAAATGTAGTTCAATAAAAATGTTTATCGTGTTTAACCGGTTTTGAAATAATAACTGCAGTAATTTAAAACAAAAAAGATTTGAAGCCCCGAAAGATACTACAACCATTAACGAACCGATTTTGTTCAATAAACATACGAATGTAGTTGCTTTAAATGTGGAATGAAAACTATTAACCATCATTTTTGACAAATATTTTCGACGAACATAGTACTTACTGCAACAATCATCTTTCATGTGGTTAAAATTGAAAAGAATTATTTAAAGTGATTGGTGAATGTTACATAAGCTAAAACGTTTCTTGATAATTTTAATTCCACATTAAAAATGAATGAAATTGTATGTTTGTTGGACAAAATCGCTGCATTAATTGAAATATTTCATTCAATTCAATTTAATTGTTTCTTATGACTTGTTTGTTTAAATATATAATTATAACAATTTAATTCATGCAACATTTTTTAAACAATCATATTATGTCTAAGATAAAATCAACAAACCCAAAAAGTAGAAACACAAGATACTTATTTAAAATGATACATTGTACAGTCTTGGAATAAATAAATAGAACGGTGTTCCATACATTTCTTTTACATAGAAAGAATGCAAACAGTTGACGTTCAAATATACAGGATGTTACACTTAAAAATACCAACTTCTAGTCAAATCTCAAAAACTGTGGTCCAACATTTTTGTACCTACACTATTGGATTCTACGTAAAAATATCTAAAATAGGCGTTTTTTCTATCTTATAGGGGTAGTAAGATATGGTAACATCTCAAAAAGTAAAATTTTTCATTTTCACTCTGTATTTTAGAAACAAACGTATTAGATAGGTCGATCTGTAAAAACAGCAGATAAAAATCTGTTTTGCGTTGCAAATTTTAAAACTTTCGCAGAAAGTAATGCGTTTTCAAGAATCATATTGCTCTATATGTGCATCCGTTTCAATATGGCGGTAACCCTGTAAAACAAAAAAAAGTGTATTGTAGGTAAATATCGAGGTCATGAGAAATTAAACGTTCTGATAATGCTTACCTGTGGTATAATGAAGTTTTCCAAATCCCTAGGCACTGAATATTTTGCGTTCATTTCTTCGTCTCCTATGAATAACTTTCCTTAGCGAAGCTTTATTGATAATCAATGCTAAAAGTTGGTAGGGTGTGTAGGTCCAAAGAAAGAGAACTTCGTTCAGTAGCTTTTAAAAAGTTCTCATTCTTTGAGCCTACACACCCTACCAACTTTTAGATCTAAACGAACGAAAGCCGAAAAAGCTAATTATCAGTGTTAACACATTGGATTTGGAATGTACATTTTCGGAAACCGTTTTAATTATTTGCTGTGGATCCTCTTGATTATTCTGAGCTCATTCTTTGTTTCTGTTAAAACTCTCGTCTTCCTACTTGCGCTGCATGTGTGTGACCGGGTCTGGTTCTGGTATTGCGTTTGTTAGATTTTTTGCATACCCATATTGATGGTGGGTGTATACAATCGTTATCATTAGTTCACTATCATTATATCATTAAGAAGTAGCCAATAGAATCAAAGGTTTATTGTGCGTCGATTACCAACGAAACCATATCTTTGTTTCTATTGGCAATTTCTTAATGATTCAATGATAATGAACTAATGATAATAATGATTGTATAAACCCACCATAACGGTGCTGCTGGTGAAATATTTGTTTTCTTCAGCTACGGCGTTGCAGTTTCCGAGGACTTTTTGGGTGTAACGGCTTGGTATTAACACCCTGTATAGAAACCTTTTTGAAAATTTCGATTCAAATCGTCGTTCCGAATGTGTTTGATATTTTACTTACAATTTCTTCCAATTTTTGATTGGGCTCTAATAAGTGATCAACTATTTCTACAAATTTTTCGTCTTCGCTTAAATAGGGCGAGTATTTGCTTCATTTTCACTGTGGGGACCTCGTAAACCTTAATAATACAAAGTCGCTTACATGAACAAAGTTATGCAGAATTTAGTGAATGTCAAACGAGAGGGGAGAGTACTTACCAGAAGGGGAAACAAGGCAGACTAAGAGATTCTTGTTCTGGTCTTGAAAAGCTAACGGAATAAAATACTTGATAGGGATAGAACATAAGCAATAATTGACGCCACAATCGAGGGTGTTTTAATCAATGATCTCAAAAATATTACAAATAGATCACTTTAATATATAGATCTGCTATGGCAATGTTTGAATTTACATTAATTCTTGGTAAAGGGGGATCAACACGTAGTCAGAAAAAATATATCAAAACAGGCTCCCGCAGAAAACAACGGAGCTATAATCGTTAAGTGAATATCGAGGTGAATATCATGCAAATGTAATAATTACAATTCGATTGTATTAACAAGGAGTCGACGAAAAATATGAACTACCTTTGAATTCTGGTCGTAACGGCCTCCGAATACAGAAGGGCGCGTTCGGCAAATTTGTAATAGATCCCAATACAAACAAGCAAATAAAAGGGATAGTGAATCGCGCTGCACATAAAATATTGCGAAATAGCAATGCTAACGTCTGACACGGAAGCTAATCTGATACTAGACCTGTAATTAATACTCAAAAAGAATCAATAATTCGAATGACTTTACACTAGCAAAAGCAAAATATTGGTTCGATTACGATTGTCCTTACAACAATCTGTATAAAAACGTAAGCGTGACGTTAAATTCAAGAACTTCAAGACTTTATGAAGCATAAATAATTAAATTTCTTTTTTTTAATCGATATTGATTAAATTTCTGCCTATTCCATTGAGAAAGTCTGACGATTCCTTGCACCATGAGTCAAATATCTCGACAGTAATTCCCATAAATATATAGTCTTTCTTTTGATCTTGATATTTTTTGTGTTTTTTTGAGCATTCCTCTTCTGCTGGAGCTCCAGCCCTTACAGAAGTACTTTTCAGGTTTGTTGTGGATAAGGTGTCAACGCATCTACCTACAGTCTCGTCAAGGGATTGGCCTTTTGCATATGTTTTAAGCGTTATGCCATCAGGTCGTTTTCCAATCAATTCAAAACATAAACAAGACAATAAGAGCCTATCGCGGAGTAAAACAAATAACAAAAACTAAACTAAACTAAAAGTCGTCGATATTGGTCTCGGACCAAGTATCGG